GACATCTATACTGCTATTAATTTCTACACCCGTGCAACCTTTATTCATACAGCCATAGCAAGAATTGCTATAACTAGTAGTGCATCAGGCAATATGGTATAGATTATACTGCAATAGCTCTTACTGGTGTAGCTAATACAGCTGTTAATACTCCCTGTGAAATAATACTACCCATTGCTAGTATCATTATACCAAATAATTTCAATAGGTAACATACACATTGCCGGTACAGGTTCTGAGCATTTTTCTGTAATATTAAAGCATTTTGCTACTGTAAAATGGCCCTGTACATGTGTACTGTAGGTGAGTTATGTGCATTGGTGTGTGTGAGTATGTTCATGTGCTTTTATTAGTGAGCAGTCAGACCCCCTCCCACCCTCAACACACGTCCCACCTCTTCCCACTTGGGTAGCGCAGTGAGAGTCTGGTCTCTGCAGTTACAGGCAGTGTCCTTGTGCAGCTGGTCTCCATGGTAACAGGTTCTGTGCGCTGTGTTCAGCAGCTTTGAGCTGCTAATTAAAAAGTGAAACTGTGGTTAACTGGAATGGGGGGGTAAGGGGGGGAGGGGTCATAGGGCAGTTACATTTCTTCCTGTGTTACCAGTCAAACAGCCCTGCAGGGCTGGACCTTTTAACAACTTACACAGAGCTGGAGGTTTGTGTTTCTGTGTGTGTGTGCTGAGACTAAGGCTTTCTTTCTTGCCAGCGGTGGACCTGCTGGAAAAGATGCTGGTTCTGGACTGCGACCGGCGACTGACTGCGGCCCAGGCCCTGGCTCACCCGTATTTTGACAGCTTACGGGACCCCGAGGATGACATTGAGGCCAAGCCTTACGATGACACGCATGACAACGCCACCTTACCGGTCAATGAGTGGAAACGTGAGCCAATACATTGACTCTCCACCTTCTATTATTACACTAATAATCAGTCTGTCTAGTCCTCTTGTCCTGGTGAGGATCATGGCTACAGTAACTCAGAGTATTATGGTTAATAAATTCAGTGCTATTACATCTTTCGTGTTTGCTGAGAAGGAAGTCGCCAATATGAGTTTGCCAAGCTATTTTTCTCATGTACAGTGCCACCCGGTGGATAAATCTAGTGTTTGCTCTGACACTGCTGGATTTTTTACCCAAGATTTGCCTAATTATTTGTCTTCTCCTTCCTTCCTCCCCCAGGGCTGTCCTTCAAGGAAGTAAAGAGCTTTGTCCCGTTTCCACGGCGAGACTCCAAGAGGCGGAGCACACTGACGATGTCACATTGACGTGGGAGGGAGAAATGCGGACTCACACATATATGCAGACACACCTACTCAACAACACACACAGACATGCCTGCTGGGGCTCTAGGGGAGAGAAGAGCCTCTTAAGCCTTATTTCACTGAAGCTCTTAGAGATGATCACCCTACCACAGTCATGCAGAATACGCTCAGTGTGCCGTAGAGCCAGCATAAGAACAGATGGATGGTTAGATGCTAGATGAGGCTGTTTTTCCATTTTGATTACTTGTAGCATATTGATCTGAGGGTGTTTTTTCAAGTCTTCATTGAATGTTCCCAGGGAAAGATTCTGGGACATCTTAGAGTTCTCTGTGGAGATTAGCTGAAAGGATTGTTTACTGTCACTCCAGCCACACAGAGACACACAGGTGATCATGTTTGAGGCTTCATTTATTGATGTAGTCCAGTTAATGGGGAAAGCTCAGGGGGGAGCTTTAAAACATCTTTTATTTTGATCATCTTGTAGTGTCTTTTTTATTTTAGGTGGATTTTTATTAATTACTTTTCAAAAACCTTTGAACACATTGGAAAATCCTTAAATGTACAGGACTTTTAAATATGTAGTCAAATGTTTTTTATCTGAATTTAAGTTTAACAAGGTGCTTGTATTTTTGAGTGAGCAATGTACTTCTTTTCTATTTCAACTATCTGAGAACACATCCTTTATGTACAGCATTGTTTGTTATTTTGGTTAAAAAATGTCAACCAGAAAACATCTAAGGGTTAACAAAAAAACATAAAGCTATTATTAACTTTATATATAGTATAACTATAAGAGATAAACCCTTATCCTTTCAAGCGCATAGTACGTAGTGTGAGGCCTGATGCAGATGCTCTTGAGGGTGGTTGAAATTCGCTCATTTTGTGAGACAATGGGAAACTTAAGGTGTCTTTGGAAGTGCTGACTGTGCTCAGGCAGGTCGAAGCAGACAGATAAAGGTGCTAAATAAAACCCATGTTTATGAGAAATGTCTCTGTGCTAATGGAAAGCCTATCTATTGCCAGGACAGGAGTTTCATGGGTTGAGTCCTGGCTGGGCAGGATAAGTTATCTAAATGAATTTATTACACTGGGTGAACAGCCAATAAAAAAAAGGATGAGAACGTTAGAGGGTTTCATGAGACGTTACAGTTATGGCATGCTGAGTCAACTCAGAAGCTCAGTCTTACAGGAGCAGTTCACCAGGCTGGCCGATTTTAATCCGCAGAGCTAAACACATTCACAGTCGTGGAGTCAGAGAACCGCTCACAAGAAGAAAGGGCGATCTTAGAATTATTCTTGAGATAAGAATTATTCTTTCACATGCTCCTCTGATAGGAATGGTAAGAGGACCAGTGGTTGACCAGTCCAGGCCAGAGCCTACAGTACTGAAGAGGTTAGAGTCGGAAGAAGCATCAGTCTGCAGGCTGCAAAGTAACAAGCAGGGGTTAAAGCAGGGGTTAATTCAACACTGAACAGTAAAAAAGAAGATAACCTGTGCTTGTTGAAAAATACCAAGATCATCCCTCGGACTCTCAAAAGCACCCTTTGTAGAGCACAGCGTTTCTGTATCTCATGGAGGGCTGAGATTGCCTTATGTAAAGCTTATTCAGCATCAACTCAAATGGTGTCTGGATTAATTGTTTGTGTACATTTTTTAAATGTGTTATGTTTTTTTTTATTCTACTCCTTGTAAAATAAAGAGATATTGAATATGTGCAAATTAAGGTCCTTAAAGTGAAATGTTGCCACACTCTGGTGTTTACTGTCTTTGTTTTATTACTTTGATGTGTTTATATTTTTAATGTAATAACCTGTGACTTATCTTTGCCAACAAAAAATTGGTTCAAGTTTGTGGAAGCGTTTAATTAAAATGTAAAAGCTGAATTTAACATTTTTAACTAAAAGACCGTGATGATATATTGTGTCAATAGTGTCCTATTATAAATTATCCTAAACTAAGTTATTCTGTTGATTAGGTCGAGATTTACACATGTCCCCAGTTCACACAGAACCAATAATGGAAGGATGTGTTGAATAAAATGCTTCTTTTGAAAATCCTCCCACCAATGACTGGGGAAAAAGAAGCAAAACATTTTTACAGCATTATTTTAAATAAATGCACTCTTAATTTAATATTAAAATTCCTGAGCTATACTTCAAGATCCATGAAACTCGCCAGTATCCTGAGATCTCATAATTGTTATCGAACAGTCTTTTTCATTTTTAATACCCCTTGCCATTAAAGAGTTTTCAGGATGCACCCTTGTTTCCTTCACAAAGTGGTAATCGTACAATGTACTCAGAAACTCGGTAACAACAATAAAATGATTCACAGTAAAAAAATTAAAAGAACTGCTTCTATAAGCGGTTTCTGCTCATAATGTCCTTGATATTTACTTTTGCATTGTCTTGTCAGAACAATTCTGTCAAGCACAACTAAGACTTTTACAGCAAGGTCTGCTTCAGTCATTAGAGGCAAAATATTGAAATATTTTTTTTTTAGATACTGTCGGCCTTCTGAGTTGCGAGTTCACAAGGCCTTTTTGTTTTGTGAAAAGGTCATCTCTCACGGCATCAGCTGATAAGAGATATGGAGCCTGATTTTCCTGGGCTGACTGGGATTTGACTGTCCTTCAATTGCGACGGCTCTGGCTGCAGTAGCTGGCACACAGCTTGCCCACAGTGCAAAGTGAAGCCTTGTCAGGATAAATGAGGGTTGTTGCTGTTGCAGAATGGGAAGGGAAGGGCAACACAAGCCCACATGCTGATAACTTTTCTGCTTGAAAGTGCCCATTAAGCAGAACTGAAGCAAAAGGATTTGGAGAGAAAATGTGTAACGCTGCTTTTATTTTATTTTTTTGGTTGGGGGAATCAGTAGTGCAGGGGTTAGCAATGTTGCCTTGAAGCCTGGGGCCCTGGGTTCAATTCCTGGGGTGCTGTTTGTGTGAAGTTTGTATGTTCTCCCCTTGTTGGCATGTGTTTTCTCTGGGTACTTCGGTTTCCTCCCACAGTCCAAAGACTTTTTTTTAACAAAATAAACTTTAATTGCATGATACACATCACTCCTGCAATTTGTACATTCTAACAAACCACAAAGACTACTCACGTTCTAAGAAGGGTGATTGTCCTTTTTTCAATCTGTGCAAGTGGTTGCTGGGGCTGGATTTGCACAATAAAAAGAGTTCCTCCAAGGCTCTAACACTTTGTTGCTTCATTCTCCTGCAAATCCTTCACAGGGATCCTCTACTCCAGCTCCCTCGCTCCCCACTCTGTGTGTTGTGCTGGATGAGAGTGTTCCTCGTGTTCCACAGTCCTTGTTTTATTAGGGACACCAGTAGTTAAAGCAAGGAGAATTGGGACTGTGGTTAAGGATCTGTGCCTGTGGCTGGAAGGTTGCCGGTTCAAATCCCATGGCCAGCAGAGGAATCCTACTCTGTTGGGCCCCTGAGTAAGGCCCTTAACCCCAACTGCTCCAGGGGCGCTGTATAAATGGCTGACCCTGTGCTCTGACCCCAAGCTTCTCTCTCCCTCCATCTGTCTGCCTGTGTGTCTCATGGAGAGCAAGCTGGGGTATGCAAAAAGACAAATTCCTAATGCAAAAAATTGTATATGGCCAATAAAGTGATCTTATCTGATCTTAAGTACTGTGTCCCTTGTTCCAATCTGGTCGGTTCTGGCCCCAGCGGGATGCACTGGTAGCTGAGCACTGTTCTCGTCCAAGACAGTGTAAATGAACGTTGGGCCCTGGTGTGAGTGTGAATGAATGTTTGTGCGCCCTGCGATACAGACTGGCGCACTATCTAGGGTGTACCTTGTGCCTTATGCTTGCCGGGATGGACTCCAGCTCCCCTGCGACCCTGAATTGGATAATAAAGTAGTTGGAAAATAGATGGATTGAATCAGTGTCATAAAATATTTGCAAGAATAAAGGTCAATTTACAAGGTAGCTCAGGGATGTGAGGGTTAACGGAGGATCATCCTGGCTGGTGACAGAAGTGGGCAGCTGTGTAGGTGTTGCAACACTTGGGGACACTCGTGGGGGGGAGGAGGGGTCGTTCCTAAAAACATTTGTCACTACACTGCTTACACCTGGATTTCTGTTCCCTGTGAAGAAATGGAAAACACTTTCAGAGGGTAATTTCACAGTCCTAGGCAGTTTACCACACATTCATTTTGTATCCCTTTTTCATTCATTTTTTATTTTAAATGGCACTAAAATGTTTTGGGAAGCTTTTAATGTAACTGTGTCTGTCTTGGGGGAGGTAAAGTGGGATCTAGATATGCACATGGGGGGAAGGGGTGTTTGGTGTGTAGTTTCAACTCCACCCACCCCTGAGAGACTGAACTGTAGCAAAACATGCAGAGCTGAGCACCACATTGTAACAAGCAAGACACCATCACAAGATCAGTCATACCAGTGGTTCCCTACAATGGTACTGGATGGCCCTGTGTCGGCTGATTTGTTTTTGTTGAGCTGAGCTATACAAATCCCAGTGCTTAAACCCAAGACCTCGTTCTTGAGAGGGGAATATACCCTCACCTCAAGATATCGCTTCCAGCAACCTCTGCATACAGATTTACAAGCAGCCGCTCCTCAATTTGTTGAACCTAATTTTATTGTGGTTTACGCACTTGAATGAGGGCAGTTCTGAAACTCAGGAACTGGCACAGAGTCGATATAAATTACAAGCACTCCATAAACTTGGACAGCTGACAGCAACTTTTTAAAGTCCGTTTAGAAAACGAAAAGCAATGACCATTTCTATGATTAAGAAATCGTCTGGATCGTAAAAAAACAGTCGACAAGTGTTAGAATCATTGGTATAAACCTCTTGCTTAAATTTTAGAGAAGACTGAAGTCTTCACTTAAAAAAATGCTGTGCAACACTCGATGTACACGTGTGCTTCGCTTCTGGGGGGAATGCCACAAGGGCAAGGTCATGGAAAACGATAGCGTTACCCTGTTTTTCTTGCATTTTAGCTCGTGTTTTTCACTCGGAAAACTTTTTTTTTTCGTTACTGACACTGGGAAAGACCCGGGATTCATTAGAGTGAGTGGAAAAGACACCTCTTGTACTTATTTTAAATACAGTCAATGAATCCGTAATATCTTGAAAAAGAGACTGAAGAAGCATTCCAGTGAACACTAGGTCCTACTCCTAAAGACATGCAGTAGGCTACCATTAGCTTCTACAGACGGACTAAAAGCATAATGGTTATCAAATCAATAGTACGTTATTATGACCATCACTGCGATACGCACATTCAATCTCACTTTGTCAACAAAGAGAGGCAGGGTGAAGGAATTCAGTCGAACGCGGTGCGAGGAGTGGGCTTGCACAGAAACCACGCCATGCACATGTATTTTTCTACAGGCGGGGGTAGCCGCTGCCGCATAGTAAAGAGAGCGCCCGGCTTGCCTGCTTTTCCTGTGCAGCTCCAACAAGTCCGCCGCACGCACTGTGCAGCGCTGTACCCGGGATGAGCCCGGAGTAACTGGCATGGCGCGTATGAAGGGGAAGGTCTACGTACTGGTCGTGTGTGTTGGCGTTGTGCTCCAACACACGGGACCGGAGTGTGTGTGGCGATGTTTGTGTCGGAGGGAGACACAGTAATATCGTACACTACCACGGGGTTTCCATGTTTGTCAAACAACCAGCTTCGGCAGCTCGCTTCTTTTAAAGGGGCGTGTTCTCGCTATCTTGATTGAAAGCGCCGCTTTCCCTTAGCTATCGCTGGGGAAAAAATCCTTTCGTAGCCAGACCAGGGTATCTACCTTCTCGTGTTTCTCTCAAATAAACCTTGGCACTACACTTGCCTGTTCTCCCTTAATTCTACTGGAAAACGTTCAGTCGTGGCCATGATGGAGGGTTGAAGCTGGGAAAAGGACGTTTGCACACCGAAATTTGCCGGCTTTTTCGGCCGAAGCACCCAGAGCGACGGCTCCGCTCTCCTTGGCTGTTTTTTAGCTGCTCTTGCTGTCGAGTTGCCTTTTGAAAAACAAGGTAAATGTTTAAAGTCGATTTTTTCTTATTTTTTGCGCTGCGGCGAGGTTGTTTTTAAGCAGGGGTGTAGACGGTTTTTTACTCAGAAAATTAATGGAGATTCTTAACTGCCCCCCCGGTCAAAGAAAACGGGCAATAACATAATACTGAAGGAGAGTTTTAATGTGATCTTGAGGGGATATGGCAGGAGAGGAAAGGCGCTTATTAACCGACATTGTGTTTGGGCCTGCTTGTTGTAGCGTCGTGTTGTAAAGAGAAATATTTCGATCAGCACTACAGTTTAGCGGGGAAGATGGCTGCCATCTTCTCTCCTTCTGGAAATAAAACACAGCCAACCAAACTATGGCGGTTAGGACCGCCTCTGCTAATGGCTGATTGGCTTCTTGAAGACCCTGTGAGGGCGGCAGGAGACTCTGATTGGCCGAGCGGAAGCTCACTTATGAAAAGTGGGTCTGGGGTGTTCTTGGTGGTTAAGTGTAGGGGATTCCTTCCAGAAAAATCTCCCCGAAAAACACAAGCAAAGAAAGAAGGGTATATCGGCATGAGCGAATAAACCGTTATGTCAGCTCTCAGCAGCGTTGTCAGAGAGAGATCGCGTGTTGTGGCAGTAGTTTGCGAGCTGTGCGGGTGTGTGGAGAGATGAGGAGCTTGATTTGCATAGGCCCGCCCCCAACAAGCGAAAATAAAAACATGTCATTTTGCAAAAGTTTTGCCGCGATCACAGCTGAAGGGGCATTTGCGTGTTTAGGTTGAATTTAAGACCAGTAAACTCTACCCGTTGATCCGGTTTTGATCCTTTATAAATGGAATTTTTCACTTTCTTGTCCGTATTTGATTAAACTCGGCGCTCCAATGCCATAGGCAAGAAAGAGGGAGCCTCGACTTGTTTTCTTCTTGGTGGTGGGGGACAGTTTGACAAAGTAAAATGAGTGGCTTACTAGATAAGGACACAGGAGGGGAGTGATGCTCTCATTGAGTAGCTCGCTGAACAGGTGACCGGGATTATTTTGAGGGGGAGTATTGAATTTATCCCCCGATGCGCAAAGAGGACAGGAGCTCTAACACCGCGCCGTCAAGTCACGTGTGAGCCAGCTGTGTGTGTGCTCGGTGCAAGATCACTTCCGCCTCCACGCGTCACGACGCCTGCGCAGCGAGGCGGGAGCATTTAAATCGAAGGAGGAATGGTTGTCTTTTGGGTTGGGTCTCGCCGTATTTATGGTCTATTGACGTTTTTACGAAACATTATGGCCGCCAATCCAGGGAGTGCTTTTAAAATGGGCTTTTTAAAGCAAGACCCTAAAAGGATTATGTACCGCCGCAGAGCTTTAATTATTTTCTGAACAAAGACAAAGTTGTGAGTGCAAAGCGCGAGGAAACGTTTAGTGGATTCGGCTATCACTGTGACTCAAAGGTGTTCCGACCGATAACTGCAAAACAGTGTGATATTTCTCATAAAAATATAGATCAAGTCACATTTCTGATTATTGCCTTCATAGGCTGGCCCTGACACTTATAGGCACTTATAGTTTGGTATGTGCAGTTGATCTAAAGTAATAATAAACTATTTTATATAGCACCTTTAAAGGTGGCTTCTCAAAGCACTTTACAGAATGTCAACAACAATAAATAAAAAGAACATGCAAGATAAAACACAATTACAATACAGAGAGGAGAGGGTCGATGGTGGTACTAAGTATAGTAGGAGCAGAGGGGTAAGGAATGGAACCAGTTAAGTAAAGGCTCTTCTAAAGAAGAAGGTTTTGAGTCTGGATTTGAAGGAGTTTAGAGAAGGTGAATCTCGGATATCCTTGTGGAGAGAGTTTCAGAGCTTGGGGGCATAACAGGAGAAGGCCCTGTCACCCATACAATGTAGACGGGCTTGGGGGACAGTTAGGAAACCAGAATTAGAAGAGCGAAGGTTGCGAGGTGGGGAGTAGGGCGACAATAGTTCAGACAGGTTCTTGAGGTGCTAAGCCATGCAGAGCATTATAGGTGAGCATGAGGATTGTAAATTCCACGCGGAATTTGACAGGAAACCAGTGCAAGGACGTGAAGAACACTTGCACTAGACCTGGTCAGGAGTCTGGCTGCCGAATTTTGGACATTCTTCAGTTTGTTCAATGTAGATTTAGATACCCCAGTTAGTAGAGCATTACAGAGCTTTTCAGCCCCAGTTAGTGATAGCATTGGGCGTAGTGTAGCGATATTTCGATGTTGCATGTTTGCATGTTACGTTTGTGTTTGTGTTAGTTGCTGAATGTATCTGTGCAGACTTGCCTCTGACATGATTTGCCTAGTGTTAGTATCCAGCAAGTTCCCCTTGTGAATTGTGCTTTTATATTGAAGATGGTCCTCTCTGCTGTGAACGGCAGTATGTAAAATGGCAGTGCGTTATGGAGCCAGCTGTCATATCTCCTGAGAGAGTGCTGGACTGATGGAGAGGATGGGTTAGGAGAGCCACGGATGGCAGAGCTGGTGCCACAGGTCCTACAGGTTTGTTCTAGCCAGCAGCTGTGTGTGACCTGTGGAGAAAAAGGTGGTTCTGACTGCACTAAGGAATTGATTGCTGGGTTGGAGTTGTTTGGAAGTCTTTGTGGCCCCCTTAGGGTCAATTGTTAACACATTTATAATCATAAAAAAACAATGGTGAAAAGATTTTTACTGGTGAATTTTTCACACTTGATTTTCACATTTGATTTTGGCATGGAGTTAGCTGTATTCTCTTAACATGACCAATGGGATTTGAGACTCCTTCAGTGCTGCATATATTTCCCTGTAACCCACTACAAGCGCGTCAAATACAGAGGTCCAGTTTACCTCTTAAATGCAGCATTTCAGTGCAAAGGAGAAGTGATCTATAACGAATATCCTCTTTGCATGGATATGACCCAGAAAACACTATATGGGGAATGATAGTGATATACATACTACTATATTGAATATATATATATATAGAAGGCAGTATCGAAGTTGTTTCTTTATGCAACGAGTCTGGCAGTGTGGAACAAGGCACCTGGCTATGTTGTAGAAGCTGATACCCTGGCTTCCTCCTAGAAACAACTTGGCTTCTAGGTTCCTTGGATCGGTTCGATATTGAGTACTGAATGTGCCAAAGTGTCTCCTCTCGTTTGTAACTGTTTTTGTGCACTGAAGCATCTAACACTGGAAAGGTAATTAATCCCACAGCCTTCCCTCTGCCCTCCAGCAGAAAACTAGGCCAGCTGAAGAGTATGGAGCAAGGACCCAGCAAACGTAACACTCCTTTCTTGTGAAATAACATCTCATCAGAATTGATGTTCTGCCTTTAAAAAGCCAAGCACAGGGGTGGCCTACGACTGGAGCCACAAACTGTAGAGCCGTAGACCAGCAGGTCTTATGTGGCACATCAGCAAGACCAGGCAAGAGCAGCCTCTGTAAACTGTACTAGAGCTCAAGTAACACAAAGGTGAATTTATTAAATCAAAAGCCTGTCTTGATGTTTAAAGACCTTTTCTGCAGCTGTGGTGAAGTTATAGTTGCAGGAACAGAGGCACCGTACTGCTACAGACAAACGTGTCCATTCCTAATGTTTTTACAGGTGGCCGAAGAGGCTCTGCCTTGAGACAAGAAGTCTCAAGATTTCCCAGTGAACTGTTCTGGGAGGAGTGGGAATTTGCAGGTTTGCCCACCTGACTTGAATCCCAGCAGCTTTAAATAATCGGTGTTAATTGCTTACTTTAATTGACACCTGAAGAAGGCTTCACAGCCGAAACGTTGTGCTTTCTCTCTTCTCTTTTCAGCATGGAATGAACCTATTACTTATTACTTTAATTGATGATTATAAAGCTGTGAATAGGTGATCAATTTATGATGAACAGACCAAGGTGGAAATGACAGTTGCCAAGTACTCCCTGAAGGTGTTTTCCTTGGAAAACTAGAGGGGGGTCTTCATTTTTAGAAGCAGGTACAGGACTAATGCAAGTTCCATTCGACATTTGAAGACGTGAAAGCAAATTTAAAAATAAGCCCCACATAGAAAACTGAAAACAAATTAGCCTGTTGTAAAGATCTGGCTGGCGCAAAAGCCAGAAGACGAACCACTGGCAAGAGTATTTGGGAGTGCTTGTTTTAATATGGCATGTCTCCATGTCCTGGAAGCTCTGCAGTGTCCTGCCAGCAGTAAAGAGTTTGAAATGTAAATGAGTTTTGATGTAGTTTTGTTCATCAGCAGGTGATTGTGGAGCCTGTTGAGTCATTGTGATCAGTTGCCACGTTGGGATAGGAAATTAGCAACCACTTCCAAATCGTTCAAAACAAAGTCTGTTGCCATATAAGCTGACCCCTAGTTTTCTCTGTCTTCTTCTCTCGGTTTCTCCCCCGGCGCCAGGGAGGTAGTGCGGGGGGCAGATGAGGAAGCCGCGGAGGCGGGGGCGCCAGGCTGGGGGGGTGGCGGCGGCAGCAGTGGGCGGCGGCCTGGGCCCGCGCTCGCCCTCCCCCTACAGCCTCAAGGTGTCGCCGGCGCGGGAGACGCTGACCTACGCCCAGGCGCAGAAGATGGTGGAGGTGGACCTGGATGGCCGGCTGCACCGCATCAGCATCTTCGACCCGCTCACGGTCATCACCGAGGACGAGATGACGGCGCAGGACATCGCCGAGTGCAACAGCAACAAGGAGAACAGCGAGCAGCCCCTGTTCCCCAGCTCCAAGCCTGGCAGGAAGCCCCCTGCCACCAAAGGGAAGAAGAAGGACACCGCCAAGCATTCCTCCTCCTCCTCCTCACACGTAGGAGGAGGGCAGCACAACCAGCACCCTCCATACCACCATCACCCCAACTCCCACACGCCGCATCACGCTCTCCCCAAGCCCACCTTCCACATCCTGGACTCCTACGCGCCCTCCGAGGCCCCGCCCCTCCCGGCCGCCTACTACCGCTACATGGAGAAGTCCGCCGAGGAGCTGGACGCGGAGGCCGAGTACGACATGGACGAGGAGGACTTCGCCTGGCTGGAGATGGTCAACGAGAAGCGGGTGTCGGACGGGCAGGCCTCGGTCTCGCCCGACGCCTTCGAGCTGCTGATGGACCGGCTGGAGAAGGAGTCCTTCCTGGAGAGCCGAAGCCAGGGCCCCTCGCAGTCGGCCATCGACGAGGACGCCTTCTGCTGCGTCTGCCTGGACGACGAGTGCCTCAACAGCAACGTCATCCTCTTCTGCGACATCTGCAACCTGGCCGTGCACCAGGAGTGCTACGGCGTGCCCTACATCCCAGAAGGCCAGTGGCTGTGCCGCTGCTGCCTGCAGTCGCCCTCCCGCCCTGTGGACTGTGTTCTGTGCCCCAACAAGGGAGGCGCCTTCAAACAAACCAGCGATGGGCGCTGGGCCCATGTGGTGTGTGCCATCTGGATCCCAGAGGTCTGCTTCGCCAACACAGTGTTCCTGGAGCCCGTGGAAGGGGTGGAAAACATCCCCCCGGCCCGCTGGAAGCTGACCTGCTACATCTGCAAGCAGAAGGGGCAGGGCGCCTCCATCCAGTGCCACAAGGCCAACTGCTACACGGCCTTCCACGTCACCTGCGCCCAGCGCGCGGGCCTCTTCATGAAGATCGACCCCGTGCGGGAGACCAACGTGAACGGCACCACCTTCTCGGTGAAGAAGACGGCCTTCTGCGAGGCCCACTCGCCGCCGGGCGCCACCCGGAAGAGCAGCCGGCTGGTGGGGGGCTGCAACTCCCACCTGGGCGAGATCGGGGAGGGGGAGGAGGTGGACGAGGAGAGGGCTCGGGACCGAGGGGCGGGACGGGGGCGCGCTTCCTCTTTGACCCAGCAGCACAAGCGCGGGGCGAAGAAGGGCTCGAAGCTGAAGAGGAAGGTGAGGAAGAGTCTGGAGGTGGTGTCTCGGCGCTCCACCGTGCCCATGGTGATGGTACCGCAGATCCCCTCCCACAGGTGAGCTCCCCGGCTTCGCTTTCACTTCCTCAGGTTTGAATTTGTTACTGCTCTGTCTCCCTGTCCCCAAGGCACCAGGAACTACATTCAAACCACTAGTGATGAGGAGACCCAGTTGTGCTCAGTCTACCCTTGTCACAACAAAATGCTGGCTCTGAGTCTTCACAGACCAGCAGCAGCAGCAAGCGCAGTGCAGAGAAAGGATCCAGACCAGACAGGATGAGGGACTTTATGATCAGCGGAATGAGTTAAACCTTCCTTTATTCATACACTTGCACATATAAATATTTAAATCTGAAATATCTGAGCCAAATATATAGCCAAAGTATTTCCAGGACTGGAGAAACATGAAATGGGGCTGTCTGCTGTTCTTGGCCTTCATTAGGAAACCTTTCATTTCTATACCCGTGTCATGTAAGAACTGCTGCCCAGGAGCCATATTTAAAAACTTTAATGGGGTCAATGTCTGTATATCTTAAGGTGGTACTTTTTGGTGGTTGACAGCTGTAGGATGTTAATATAGTTGGGGTTTTTAAAATATGATTTTTTATGTCAATTCATTTTGACACACTTGCTACCACTCTGAAATTTGCATGATATATTCAAATTTTATTTGCTTCCATAATTAATTCAAGTACTGACAGTTTTGAATTTTGCATCAGTGAGTGTGTAGAGGGTGGGGGTGATGACAGGTTGTCCTGAAGGATATAAACCAGCTGGAAAATCTTTTTATACTTCGATCTCTGTGATTGGCTTTGCACCCCTTTATTAAAATAAGCACTTTTCAGAACTTTCTTGTGAGATTCCTGTTCTGTGTTGTGCTGAAATTCGGCGCGGATTCTCTCCAGTTTTATTTTGAGGGTTCAGGCGGGGTCGGGTCCGAATGGCGTGTTGAAGCGCCTGTCGGTGTTGCTCTGTTCACCCTGGCCCCCTGTCTCTCTCCAAAGGTTGAATAAGATCTGCACGGGGGTCCCGGTCCAGAGGAAGAACCAGTTCATGCAGCGGCTCCACAATTACTGGCTGCTGAAGCGCCAGTCCAGGAACGGGGTGCCCCTGATCCGCCGACTGCACTCACACCTGCAAGCCCAGAGGGGTGCCGAGCAGGTCAGGCTCCGTGGCTTCTCTGAAAGGGGTGGAGGTGGCGTCGCACTCCCTCTGCCTGCTTGTCCACGTCCTGTAGGGGGGTCTTGTGGGGCTTCGGTGAGGTTAGGGTAGGGGCATAGAGGCCTCTGGGGCTTCAGTTAGTTTAAAGGGGTAAGGGGGTTTCTAGGACAAGTGCTTCAGTGAGGTTAGGGGAGGGGCAAGGGTGTCTCTAGGGCAGGGGCTTCAGTGAGGTTATGGGAGGGGTAAGTGGGGTTGGCGAGTGTTAAGGGGGCCGGGGTAAGTGGTTCTTTGGGGCTTCAGTGAGGTTAGGGTTTAGGGGGTCTTTGGGCCAGTGTGGGCTCATGGGTTGAGAAGTTGAGGGCCCAGGGTGTCAGAGAGATGTGTACACACACAGGGGCATCATCTTCAGCCTAACTAAGCAGCAGGACAAGTCCTTGAAATTCAATTGAGGTGTTTTTTTTCCCTGCAGTGGTAGCAGCCTTAAGACAAGAAAATAATTTTAGCAAAAAACACTTATTTTCAGAATCTTTGCCATTAGTAAGCAGCCTCTACTAACACTTAACAACATATTGTGGTTTGTCAGTAAACCCGCACATTTGTAAAGTAGTGTTAATGGCTTCTTATTGTATGTTTGCAAATTGTGACTTGCAACTCCTAAACCAAAGCGTTGGCCTCACCTTGATGCGACAGGCGCAGTAATTTGGTGTTGTTCTTGTGTTGTGTGTGTCGCGGCGCTGCTCAGACGGAGTCGGACGAGAAGGTGAGCGCAGTGAAGGAGGAGCTGAAGTACTGGCAGAAACTGAGACATGACCTGGAGAGGGCCAGGCTGCTGGTGGAGCTGATCCGCAAGAGGGAGAAGCTGAAGAGGGAGCAGGTACTCGGGGGCGGGCACAGGGCACGGAGAGGGAAAGGAGTGAGAGGACAATTTGGTGGAGGAGAAAGAGGGCTGGGGGCTTGGTGAATGAAGAGAACGAGGTGAAAGAGGTAGAGGAAGAATGAACAAATGGGTCATTCGACAAACAGGTATTCTGTGGGTTACAATAAGTGGCACTGTTTTATAATTTTCTGACGTTGGTGAGGTGTTGGGTCCTCTTCTCTGAAAGTGTCGGCATTTCCACTCCCCTCAAACACCCCTCTCCCTCCCCCTGCTTGTCCAGGTGAAGGTGCACCAGGCTGCGATGGAGCTCCAGCTGACCCCGTTCCTGGTTCTCCTGCGCTCCACACTGGACCAGCTGCAGGAGAAGGACGCCGCGCAGATTTTTGCTGAACCCGTCAACCTCAAAGAGGTAAGAGGTGTGGCCACTGCACCTGTCTTCCCCTCCTGCGGGGTCTTATTTTCTTCCCAAGTTTTATTTATTTCCATCTTTCTTCCTCCCCATTTTCTTGTCTTTCTCTCCTCAATCCCCTTTTTTTGCTTTCCCTCTCTCTCTTGCCTTCTCCTCTGGCCTGCCCTTCCTTCTGGCAGGCTTCCTCTGTCACGTGCTCCTTCTGTCCTTCTCTCATCGGCATCCCTCTCTTCCTGCGTTGCGCTGCAGGTTCCGGACTATCTGGAGTTCATTTCCCAGCCCATGGACTTCTCCACCATGCGCTCCAAAGTGGAGGCTCACGGCTACTGCAGCCTGGCCGACTTCGAGGGCGACTTCAACCTCATGGTGAGCAACTGCCTGAAGTATAACGCCAAAGACACCGTGTTCCACCGGGCCGCGGTGCGCCTGCGCGACCTGGGGGGCGCCATCCTGCGGCACACGCAGCGTCAGGCCCAGAGCATCGGCTTCGACTCCGAGACCGGCATGCACCTGCCCGACTCGCCCAAGACACAGGACTTCTACCGCTGCTCCTGGGAGGATGGTGAGAGCTCTGTCCCCGTGCTTGCAGCAGGCTTCCTTTACCTCTCGTTTACTCCATCCACCTCAGGCTGCACAAGTCAGACTGCACGTGCGTGCCGAGGGCCACCGCTGGCAAGACCAGTCCTAGGCGTCTTTGTCATTACGTCTTGTATAAAATGCTAACGTACAATAGACCTTAGAGCACTAACATCTGTGCTGTTTTTATTGAAGTGTTTGGATCGTGTCCACAATCGTGTAGAACATAAGGAGCGCGTGATTCCTGAAAAAATCGTGTTTTAAATTCGAAATCCTCTTGCCGTGCTGGGCTGGAACCGTGCAAACCTGATGTGTTTTAACCCACTGCGTGATCCTCGCATCTGTACCCAACCCCCTCCAGCTCATCTGGAGCCCCCTGACCTGTAATCTGCATCTGTTCTTCGTGCTCTTCGCTGGCTGTCCATCTATATTCATACCTGATTCTTACCTGCCCCTCCTGCCTCCAGTCCCCCACATTTCTCCGTCTCTTCTGCCACGTGCTTGTTTGTTTCCTCTCTTTGCTCTCCTGCCATTTGTGTTGTACCATGGGCAGAATTAGCTGCCTGGGAGCTCAGGACTGCACCTTCTCTGACGCCCTCTGACGCCTCTGCAAGATTTGCTGTAACTGCTCCGTCTTGCACTGTTTTTACATTGTTGAATTGTAATATTCCACAGTGCGTCTTACCTTCCTCAGCTGGATGTTATATACAGTATACCCTCACTTTACCAGACTAATGGGGGGAAAGGGGTGCCCAGTATAGCTGGCTGTCCATTAAATTACCAGTGAGAAATTTCAAGCTCAAATCACACTTGTATATGAGAAACAAGTCCTGTCAGAAGTAAACCAAGCTTGTTTGGAATGGCAATGGATTACTGGAAGCTTGTTTGTTGTATCCTTGAGGACCCTCAGTCCCTGTAACTAACTTGACAACGGGTGTCAATCTGTGTAAGCCTGTAGCATTTGCACAAATTTCTGCCGAGATCGTTTCCTCGTTGGTTTATTGTCCTGGCGTAGACACGGATGCTTGTGTCCATTTCTGGGAGAAAATGCCGGAAGAGACCAGCCTCATCAGCATTGTACCTTTGGGATAATCGGAGCCTTTATCTTGGATTGTTATAAATTTCTTCAGTGGGAGCACTTGAAGATTCACCATAGGTGCTTTTTATTCACTATACTGTGATGTTTGCATAATCGCCAAAACCAGTGCCTTTGAAACAGTTTCACGTGCATGGCGATTCAATGTCATGTACGTCCTTTTTGAAAGAAACGGTTGACCAGATTTTGCCTGTTAAATTCGAAGTCCATTAAAGCGCGGGTTTCCTGTAATTGTATTAGGAAAGTTATCCACACACTAATAGTATCTTGTTGCCACGGCTGCAGTGTTCTCACACTTTCCTCTCCTCCGCCTCCCTGTCCGCACTGTAGTGGACAACATCCTGCTCCCAGAGAACCGCCTGCACATGTCGCCTGAGGACCAGCTGAAGGAGCTGCTGGACAAGCTGGACATGGTGACCAGCATGCGGTCCAGCGGGGCCCGCACGCGCCGGATCCGCCTGCTGCGCCGCGAGATCAACAGCATCCGCTACAAGCTGGGCCAGCAGCAGCGGCTCCTGCTGAACGGGGACCACACCAAGCCTGCCCCCGAGGAAGGGGAGGACAGGGAGGCGCCGGGCGAGCGCGTGGGCAGCCCCCCCCCGACTCCGGAGAAAGGTACAGTCCGCCCAGCCCCACTGTGGAGCACCAGTTCTGGTGGACTTGCTTGTTAGCTTTTAGAAAAGAGAACTAAATCTTGTGACTATCCCACGCCTGACAAAACTCTGTACGTGGGGCAAGAGGACATTTTTTTCATTGAAGTTTATTTTTTTAATGAATGTATTAATTAATTCGTTTAATAAGAATAAAAGCGGAATACTTCCCACAGGTACCCCTGATGCAACTCTTCATCTGTTCATGACTTTCCGTAACTGGGAGTTGCTAGACAAAATCAACCATCATAAAAACTGAAGACCTTCGTGTTTATTAACATGGCTTTTAGGTACTGCCTGGTCTGACCAGATGCTTTCTGGTTTATTGGTACAGTGTGATATTTTTCCTTTCTGGCAGCAGTAGACAGTGGAGCATTTCCTGTTATGTCCTCTTCGGATGTTTTGATGGCTTATGATTTCCTTTTTCTCTTGTGGTTACCATTTTATGGTGTCTCATGTCTTGAATTCCTGAGACTTGCATTCCTAATTCCCCAGTGTTCTGGTCAAGTGTGCTATGATATCTTCCGGAAAAAGGTAGTTGCCTTGTGCGTGGCTCACAAGGGCAAACTGCTGGCTCTGATTGTTGGTTGAGCTCTGTGACTCTGGGGGGGCGTCTGTAAGTGTAGGCTTGCGATTGGTCAGGTCTTCCTTGCCCAGCGAAACGGCAGCCTCCTGTGATGTTCCCACTCCTCCGTTCGGCGTGGGTCCTCCTGTCCCCCTGCGTGCAGCACGTTAAGAGGAATCGCTCGATGTGTGGGCGGCTCAGAGAGGCCTGCCTGAACTTCCTCACTCCTTCCATGTGGGTGCGGGGTCGACCGCCGTGGGCTGTAAAGCCTCAATTGGCACCGCCAGATTTATCTAAAATAAATATCCTAAACAAAGTGATTTTAAAAATGAATGAAAAAGAAACTTAGCAGCCATGGTGAGCCTGTTTTTTTTTTTCTGCTCATAGAATCCTCGAAGTCCACCCCTCCTCCAACGCTAGAGCCCACTGGCCCTGCCCCCTCCCCGACTGACAGCGACGCCCCCCAGGACCCCCCCACACTGCGACCCGTGGGCAGCGAGATCAGGACCCCGGGCCGTCCGCACAAGCGCCTGAAGTCGGACAGCGACGTGCCAACCAGCAGGCGGACGGGGGGCGGCCCCGCCGGGGGCATCCAGCGGCTGCTCAGCGACAGCGGCCTGAACGGGCTCAGCCTCGGGGTCCCCCCGGACCTGCCCAGCCCCTCCGCGCCCGCCGTCGGCCGCCGCACCTCCGTCCTCTTCAAAAAAGCCAAGAACGGCGCCAAGATTCCCAAAGGGGCCGACAGCCCCCTGCGGAACGGTGGGGAGGAGATGCACAGCACGCCCCTCACTCCCACTCCTGCCTCCGACGCCCCGTCGCCCTCCCTCAGCCCCTCAGAGCGCACCCCTCGCCGGCGGCCCTGCAGCCTCAGCGGGAGCTCCGACAGCGAGGGGGAGAAATCGCCGCGGCCCGCCCCCGAGGGAGGTAAGGACCCCAGCTCAACGTTGGTAGTGGATACAGCCGCGTTTGTAACATCTTCTCTGGTAGACGTGAGGGCACGCTGCAGGCTGTGTCCTAATTTCCTGGATCATTCCACTTGGTGGGTCCCTCGGTAACATTGTTCTCTGTTAAGGACTCGGCACATTGCTTAGTTTCGGCCTTGGCTCTGGATCTGGCTGACCTGCAGGGGCTCCCTGGTTAGCGGCGTACTTGTGTGCAGGTGCTGCAGGCTTTGGCCAGACAGGGGAATCTTAGCTTGCTGTGTCCTGCTGGGTGCGAAGCCTTGACAGCTGTCTGTGCTCCACTTGATGCGCTCAGTCTTGCTGTGTGGGAGAAAATACTGTCACTTGGACGGTGCGCTTTTCACTGCAGACTGTGTCCTCCTGCCGCCTGGATGACAGGTTACCTGATATTGGGCCACTCTTCCAGCACACTTCTGCTTGGGTGCTATGGAGCTCATAGAGGGTTAAGATTAATGGCTCTGATGGGTGGGTGGGGTAGAATGCGTATGGTCTTTCTCCTTGTGCGATGTAATTGGAAATCCATATTATGGTGGATATAAAATGATAAGTTTAAGAACCACAGCTGATAACATAAGTCTAAAATTAGCTTTCAGTGTTTAACAGCATTTTCTTTCATTGGCACATCCAGAAAACAAAATGGATAAAAGCAATTAAAAAGCCTCACTGCTTGTGTGCAATATTAATACATTTGCAGCTCCAGAATGATAACGAACATTTTAATCCCCCCCCTTGTCACATCTTAAAGCTCTGATCGTTTCTTAAGTAATTAGAATGATTTCCACTTACTGTGCAGGCTTCATCAGATCAGGTATTTGTGATGGTGCTGGGAGTCCTAATATTTCTCTAGCTGAGTGGAAGAACAGCAGACTTGCACGTCACTGCTGCCAGCCTCCTGATGGAATTACTGCCCTGCACAGTTTAATAAATTCTGCTCAACTCTGAATGTCGTATTGTATATTGTATGCATTATATAGAAAATGCATTTTTCACTGCACACCTGTGGATAGATTTACAGATGGGCTGGGCCTGCAATCCCAGAGGTCTCCACTAGAGGTCAATGTATGCATGTCTATTTACTGGCAGCACTTGAGAACAGAGATGTCTTGAGTATCTTGTGTTTCAGTACAGGATCCAACAACTTTCATCTGCTCTACTGCTCACTGTAACCACTTTCTCCCAGAATAAGCCAAGGGTGCTCAAAAAACTTGGATATTTCCAGAAGGAGGCAGACAATCCCTTTTGAAGTGAAATGTGTCCAAACCGTGTACTTTCGTTACCGTGAGCCAGCCTGGCATGCCGGAGGGGTGGGTAAATGTCCAGAAGTAGAGACGCTGCCCACCGGTACTTGTTACACAGCTGTGTTTTCAAAGAGAGCGATGCATTGCGCCCGTGTGTGTGTTTGTGACATTCTTCTGTCCCGACTCTGTCCCCCAGGGCTGACGAACGGCTTTGGAAAACATGGTGAGAGCGGCTCCGACTCGGAGTGTGGATCCCTGCAGGCTGGCACTGTGCCCATCAACAGAGAGAGGTGCGTGACCATCTAGGGTGGCACAGAGCACAGAGAGATCTGTCCTGACAGCGCTGTCTCGTCCTTTTAAACACCCATCCATCCATCCATCCATCCATCCATCCATCCATTTTCTAACCGTTTCATCCGATTCAGGGAGGTGGGTGAGCCGGAGCCTATCCCAGCAAGCAACGGGCACAAGGCAGGGTACACCCTGGACAGGACGCCAGATCTGCAGGACAGACACACTGACACAAACGTAGACATGCACACACTGACACGCAGGGCCGAATTTCCCAACCTCCCAGTATGTTTTAGAACTGTGGGAGGAAACCAGAGCACCTGGAGAAAATTCGCATGAACACAAGGAGAGCGTACAAACGCCCCAGTCTGGAATTGAACTCGGGGCCCCAGTGTTGTGAGGCAGCAGTGCTACCTGCATCACCGTGCCATCTTTTGAAATGTCCTGTAGTGAATTGTTTAGTGGCCAAGGCTTAGTGTACGACAGAACAGTGAGGGACTGTCTCGGCTTAGGTGATCTTGGCTGAGACGTGGGAAGGCACTGAGAAACCAAAGGCACGTGTGACAAAAATGGCGTGAAGCACCGTAAAGGCAAGTTTACCTTGAATAAACATTCGTAAATACGTTTCAAGTAAAAGATCAAAACTCGTTAGTGACTTTGGATCTAGAGAAGGGACCACAAGTTGACCAGAGGAGGAAAAGGTACAAATTCACAGCCGATCTAATAGCCGTACTGAGGGGATTTAAAAATTCAACAAACAAGTATTGGAACCTATATCGTTTCTTGCATAATTAATGCCTGACAGTAAAATAAAGTACTTCATACTGCAGCACGTTCTTCTCTTGTCAACACAATGTCATCTTAATCTTTAAAATATGCTAATCCTGTGCATGATGGCCAGAAAATATTCTCAGGGTTTTGGAGAAATAGAAGAGTTTCTTTGTACCAGATGTGAAAGAATAAATTAAGTGTTTTATTGTAGCTGCTTGCCTCCAGTTTGCGTTTTTTTTAAATTGGAGTTTTTCCTGTATGAACGAGGACAGTGTGGTACCTGGGCCAACCCCCTTACCACAAATAAGGTTTAAATGTGCTTCCTTCTGGTTCCCCCTTGTGCCTTCTGGTTTGTGTTTTGCTGTTGGACCTGTACTCCACTGGGGCTATATTGTCAATACTGAATGGGGGCCCCTGGTTGTGTTGCCTGTTAAAAAAGGTTCAAAAGGTCTTTAGACAAATTCCAGAGTAATATGTTTCTTTTGGTAACATGACCAAAACTGTTCTGTAAATTAAGTTACGCACTGTATCCTTTTAAAGTGGGAATTCTACGGTTTTAACTTCACCGTTACTGCTCCCCAGATGTTTGGATGAGAATTTGGTCTAACTGTCTCCACCCGTGTTTCTCCTCTCTGTGTCCACCCAGCAGCGCCGTGTCCCCGCCCAAACGCAGCCGAGGAAAACCTGCTCTCTCCCGGGTCCCCTTCCTGGAAGGCGTGAACGGAGACTCGGACTACACTGGCGCAGGTGAGAGCGAGGGGCAGGGCAGCAAGAGGGATGTACAGAGCATGAGAGCTGCCCCAAATCCCAGCGTTCGTGCTGTCCGGGACCCTCCTGTGATTCACGCAATGACATGTCCGTGACATCCCAAGATTCACGGTCAGGGTGATGGGCAACTGTAATGCAGCAGCTGGTAGATTGAAAGCTTGCTGCTGGTCCCTGAAAAGGTAGCCAGGAAGGCTCGGCTCATGCGTTGGAGTCGGTTAGTGATGTGGGAGAGGGCTTCCCACGATGCACAGGAACGGGGCTGTGCTGTACCGATGGAACAGGCAGGGCAGTGATGACGTGTGTCTCGGCCACAGGCAGGAGTCTGCTGATGCCGTTCGAGAGCAGCGCGGAGCTGGAACCCCTGGATCTGGTGTGGGCCAAGTGCCGGGGATACCCCTCCTACCCTGCCCTGGTGAGTGTGCGTCAGTGCCCGCCGTGCACGTGCTGCCATCTGCGCGTCTGGGTCCCCATGCCTGTCCGCGTGCGCGTGCTCCTGCCGACTGTGTCCGTGTGTTGGCACAGATCATCGACCCCGACATGCCGCGCGAGGGCCTGCTGCACAACGGCGTGCCCATCCCTGTGCCGCCGCTGGACGTGCTGAGGCTGGGAGCACAGCGGCAGGAGGAGGCCGGGGAGAAGCTCTTCCTCGTCCTCTTCTTCGACAACAAGAGGACCTGGTGAGTGTGCGCGGGGGCTGGCCGAGGGTGCGTGTCGGTTCAGCCTCTACTGCCTAGAGAGGGCGTGACCTCGTGAGACTGTAATCCGGCAGCAGTGCGGCACAGTGCTCGGGCACTGGAAGGTTGAGGGTTCGAAACCCAGTGAAAACAAGAGTTACTTTGGATAAAAGCATCAAATTTGTAATGAGAATCTGTTATTACAAAAAAAGTTGGCAATTGGTTTTTTTTTAAATGTCATTACTAATGGGTAGACTTGAGAGTCTGTATTCCCGTGTGCTGTTTTCGTGTGCTTTTTCGCGTACCCCAGCTTGCACTCCATGAGACGCACAGAGGATTCCTCTGCCGGCCGCGGAATACGAACCGGCAACCTTCCAGCACCAGGCGCAGATCCTTAGCTACAGAGCCACCAAACCTCCAGCATCCAGCATTCTTTTAGGAGGATTTCTGCGTAGGAGAATGTGGCTCTGTAGTGGAGCCCTGTAAAGAGCTTGCCTGGTCTCTGGTTCTGGTCTCCAGCCATCCTCAGGGCCGTTTCTAACCCTCACCCTCCCTTCTCGCCACTAGAACAGCTGTGATGTGGAGGAGGTGTTTGTGTGTGTGTGTGTGTCTGAGCGAGGGGGGAGAACGACAAGAAAAACCAACACTGTTTGAATATAATCGTCTTTGCGTTGCTTAACGATGCAAGGCATTTGTGCTAATGAAGCCACTTTGAAGCCTGTTTTCTCGACAGATGTTGAAAGAGCTAGTTGGCTGTTAGATTCACAGCTGGCTTTGACAGACAGTGTTTTCTCTTTTGCAAAATATATCAGCAGTTTCCAAGCCTTTCAGTATCGTATCCTGAAATAGTTTATCACAGTTCTTTAAAAGAACTGCAGAATTACAAAAAGACATTTACAAGGCACTTAGAAGTACAATAGAATGCTTTTATCATATGAAAAAGCATGCAACATGCAAAGTCTTTTTCTAGTATCAGGGCTGCATGAAACCTTATTTAGACAACTTCAGTGGTTCTCAAACTTTTTGGACGAAGTACTATCCGTGATCAAACCAAAGCATCCAAGTATCACTTACAAGTCATCTTTTCATAGGACCCCCAGAAAATCTCAATGACCAACATGAGCGTGCGTGCGCACACACTCGCACACGCATATAATAAATATTATAATAATAAACTTTATTTGATATAACGCCTTTAAAGGTGGCTTCTCAAAGCACTACAGAATGACAACAGGAACAACAACAATTAAAAAAAAAAACAATAAAAAAGGCACCATTTCAGTGAGAGGGGTGAGCTTGTTTAGTCGACCAAATTCATCGGTCGAGCCTTGATACAATTCACAACAGAGTCTTAACAGATTTTAAATCCTCAGGCATTCTCTTGACGGCCTCGCGGTGGATGCTGCAGCGCGTCCACTTCATATCTGGAGCAACCTCTCTAACTCGTACACCTACACCGCTGTGTCGGCTTGTCATCGCTCTAGCACCGTCTGTACAAACTCCGACGCATTTTATCCAGTCGATGCCATTCTCTTTGATAAAGCTGAAATAGTGTGGGGGTCCGGTGTGCCGTGCGAGGACGGGCTCGGGTGCTCTCCTGTAGTTCCTGTTGGTAGCGGCTTACCATGGGACGCACCCTCAAACCCGTATGTAATGTGAACGAGCAAATGGGCCAAATCAACAACATCTACACACTCATCTTATTGCTGTGAAAAGTATCTGCTCATCTTAACACGCGCTATCAGCGTAGTTTTAATATCATCCGCCATATCAATTATTCTGTGAGTTTCTGTCTTTCATAGGGGGCAGCAGGTCGAGCTGTTTAGCAGCTTTTTCTCCACACAATACATGTCAGCTCTTTTGCCAACGGTAAACAAAGTGCTTCAAAAATAGCGTGGGGCTTACCTGCATAAGCAATCCGCAAGCTTGCATTTTTCCCTGTTTCCGTTTCAGGAGTCCGTCTCAGAAGTTAAAATACGTTTTTATTTCACAGAGACACTTGGCGTATTTTTCTCAAATTAACCTTGAACACTTCTTAAATATTTTTCAGTTATCTATCACGCTTTCCTGTGCTCACAAGATTTCCAGCGTTCGTAGTACGCATTTCTATGCTTTCCTGTGCTCAGAACATTGGCATTGTTCCAAAATCACGCACATTCTCCTACCTCCCTATTTGCTGGAGATAACTTTTTTTAAATACAATTGGTCACTTACGTCCCTAGCACGAATTCCTATGCAATGGTATAGAATTACATAGTAGCTCTTGTGTCCACTCAAGTATTAGCTGTATTGTATTGTATTGTAGGCTTCGTATTCGACACAAACTAATTAAAATAGAAAATATGAAAACCCGTCCCAATTTTTCAGTGGACACAACAAAGTTCCAGGGTCATACGGCGTACCAGCTGGCGGC